AGTGTAGGGGGCGTCTCGCGGCGTTCTCGCGCCCTCCGCGTCGCCGCGCGTCTCTCATATCCTGCTCGGCGTGGCTCTTGTTTGCTCGCCTTTCTTTTCATATTAAATTCCGACTAACATCGGTGGAGAGGTGGGGGCTGGGTCGACCCCTCGGGAATCCTCCCCCCCCCCTTTTTCCCCTTCTCCAACCCCGTAGGGAGGAGCTTGAGGTGGGTTCGCGACTCTCTTGGCCCACGGTGGCCTTCAGCCCCGTGTGTCCTGAACGAGGATGCTCCTCGACTTCCCCCCGGCTAAGGTCGGAAACCCTGCTGGAAAGTTTCTGGAAAATTTTCGGGAAAATTGTGAGGCAAACGAAAACTTTTCAAAAGAAGAGAGAAAATTTCCAACATTCTGGTAATTTCCGTTTTTCCGAAAATTCGGAAATTTTTCGAAAATTTGGGGAAATTGAGATTTTTTTCGGAAATTTACATCACCCTTCCTGCCCACCCGTGCGTGATCGCCTGATCCCTCGCCCCCTCCTCCCGCTCTAACGTTCAATGCTCATTGTCTCCCCGCGGGCTTTTTTTCATGAACGCACTATACGGCGCAACGCAACGCTCCTCCTACGGGTGCAAACGGCAACAGCACCAACCGCAACAACAGCAACAGCGAGATTGCTCGCTGCTCGCTCGGTGCGAGTTATACGCGCTGGTAGACTCTCCACCACTACCCGCCCATACCCCCACCCCCGGTTCCCCCTCCAGCCTGCGGGGTTCAAGCGTCGAAAACATCATATCCACAAGCGGAGAGTGTGTTTTTGTTTTGTTTTTCATCCGGTGGCTGCGGGTCTCTTTGTATTTTGGGGCCGCAGCGCATGTCCCCCGACGACACAGCCTGGGCGGTAGGCATCGAGAGCGCACGGGCGCGTCCGGGTTGCCTATCTCCCAGTTGACAGGCGAGCTGACGGCCATGGTCGCAATCATCTTGTGATCTCGACTTAATTTTTCAATGTCTGCGCCCTGTTTTATTTGTACTAGCCGCTAATCTTTGATAAAGTAGGCGAAATGAATACAGCAGGCAAAATGAAAAAGTGAGCGAGATTAACAAAATGTGTGTTTGTCTGCAGGTGCTGTACGTGGACGCGCGCTCGGCGACCTACGTCAAGGACCCGCACCGCTGCGAGTTCCTCATCACGTCCTTCGAGTCGACGTGGGGCATGCTGGAGAACCCGCGCCACTCGCTGCCGCCCAACACCACCTGCCGCTACCACTTCCAGGGCAAGAAGCGCGAGACGGTGTGGCTCTCGTTCGTCAAGTACCACTCGGCGGCCACGGACCCCACCGCCTACGACGCGGTCCAGTGCAACGCCAGGATGCGCGTCTGGGACGGGCGGCACGGCGTGGCGGGCACCGCGCTCGCGCACAAGGTATGGGTACTAGAAGTGAAGGTCGAAAACTTCAAGTGAACACACTAAAATTGTTTATACTGGCGCATTAGAAAATGCGTAAGCAGAGACGTACACAGAACTCAGTAAGCTATGAATAAAAATGTTCATAAGCTCTTAGTGTGAACGTTGTAAAATCGAATAACTCTATTACGTCTCACAAAATTTTAGAAAATCATCTTTTTCAAACTTTGTTTTTTAACTTTTTTTGTTTTGAATTCTGCTTCAAAGAAATCATTTTCGTTCAGTTTATTTTTCACTTTAATTTTATATTTTTCTTTGTTGATAAATGGCGGGAATTGCTTGGCTACTGGCTTGAAGCAAATCTTTTGTGAGGAGCTCCCCGCCCCCGCGCTGATGGCCCGAGCACGCGACCGGCTGCTCGTGGCGGCCGCGGTGAGCGCCCCGCTGTGTGCCTCCGCAGCCGCACTACTCGACCCCCCGGGCTCCCTATTTCTCCCTTTTCCAAATATCCCTCCCCGGAAAATGAATGACAACAAAAGGCCCGGGCTCCGCGCCGCGGGAACCTGTTTGAAAAATGATATCAACTCACGCAATCCTCTTTGGGGTAGGGGAGGGGGCTCGTAAAGTTAGGCGCGCCCTGCCGACCGCGCTGGACTCCGCACAGGTTCCTTAAAGCCCTACCGCCTACCTGTCGCGCGCGCTCGTCCACAACCGCGAGAGAGAGCGCAGACCGGAAGTCTTTGTCTTTATTGTTTTCGGACGGCCCCAATTGAATCCCAACTGTCGGTCAGTGAGCAGGGCGATATGACTACTTGCTCACTCTCCCTCCCTCCCTCCCCCTTTCTTCC